AGTAAATAACGGGAAATTAGGACAAAGGGTTTATATAAATTTTGGAAACGGTACAGAGTTTTGGAAAACAGTTTATATAAATAACATTATTTTACCATTATTGTCATTTAAACAATGATTTATTATTGTATTATTATTATATTATTATTTTAAACTCAATATTATTAATGGTAAAATAATATTATAAATATAGTTTGTTATCAATTCTAACATCCAAATAATCTAAATTGTCATCTAAATAACAACTACATCAATTATATCATATATAATCTTTTTATTGATCATTCTCCAAATCTACATATTTCCGTTTATATAAATTTAATACTTATTTGTATTGTTTTTAATTTAAACTATATGTTTCTGTCAAAACGAGCTTTATTACAAACACTATCTATCTTCCATAATGATAACATTATAATAGGGGTGATTATACCATTTTTGTTATATTTATACATAAAATACAAAATAGTTTTAATTACACAACATTGTTATATCATTGTGATTACTTATCACTTAGATGAAATCACATTGTAGTAAAGATATGAGTGTTGGTGTGTTATTGTGTCAAAATTATGTCTGTTGATTGTTACTATTATATATAACAATTATAATTATAAAACTATCATAAATCACATGATAAACTATTAATAATATATTGATTTATTTTTTTATAAATTATAGTTAAAAGTGTCAACTTTGGTTATATCATGATGTTTTTACACTTGTGTTTTTCTTTGTTTTTCATTATCTCTATACATTTAATTTAAATTATTTGTTTGTTGCCCAAAAATGCATAATTTGAAAATGAATAAACAGGGGCTGCAAAATAAACATTTTTTTACCAAATTCAAATCTTTATATTCTAAATAAATTGCATAAAACACGTTTTGCTTTTTGTTTTTGTTTGAAAATGATAAAATATTCAAATTACAAATAATGAATTTATATCTTGCTTCCTCGACAGTGGCACGACTTGAAACTCAACGGGTGACCATAAACCCTCGTGGTGATCAAAGTTTATTTAAATACAATTACTTTTATTGTTAAAGTTGATTTTATAAATTTTTCTCGATTTTGCGATTTTTGATATATTTGAAAATGTATTTTACTTATTTTTTGTTTATTTTACACTTATTTTCTTTAAGATTTTTTTTTCAAAGTCGGAACAAACAAAAGTGTCTTTTCGACTTATTTCATTTCTTTTACGAAAAAACAGTAAAATTCAATTTTAAAATTATTGTATTTTTCAAAGTTTACAATAAAAATCTATTTATTTTCCCTTGTAATTGTTTTCGAGATCATTTGCATATTGAAATTTCAATACACCTCAAAGTTTGTTATTTATTTTCTTCTCTTTGTTATTTAGAGATGCAATTGATTTTGAATATTCCGGACCAGTATGTTTTACGTTACATTTATCTCTTTGTTATATTTTATAATTAATTTTATTATTGTAATAAGTTGTGGTCATCTCAATAAATGTTCGATCTGACTTTTCCATTAAACTGTGACTTGAATTTGAAAGGATCAAGCAAAAAAGTGAACCTTTGTTCATCCCAACTTCGACAAATAATTCACTTTTTAACTATAATTTATAACATTTTACTCTAAATATACTAGAGCCGTCGTTCCAGGGTGTCTAGCTTTTTTTTGAAAAAATTATAGTAAAAAAGGTCCCATTTACATTACAATTGACTAAGATTTTTATTTTTTTACAAATTTTGGTTTTTCCCGTCCTTGAAGGTTTAATCAAATACCAAATAAATTTCGGATTCGACAAATTTTCCAATCAAAGCGTTAAAAAAACGGTGTTTAAATTTGAAAAGGACTTAAAAATCATAAAGTCTTCACCAAAACAAATCAAAATATACACTAGCCCAAGTTTTGTAAATGTCATGAAATAAATTTAAATTAATTGTTTTTTTCTTTTTTGTTTTATTTGTTATAAAAATGTAATTTTTAATAAAAAATAATTTGTTATTATTAAAATGTTTTTGTCTTATAACATAATTTCAGTTTTTTATATTTTTTGTTATTTCCAAAAAGAAAACCAAAATTTACTCACTTAAGTGGGTTTATTCAAAATTAAGTACTTAAATATTGACACTGTAAGTGGAATTCATTTTTGTGTTTTTATAATTACAATTACTTTTAAATATTAATAATTATTATCAAAACTATAAGTTAATAATTTTTTAAAAAAACAAACACAAAAAATTAATATTTATTATTGATTTTGATTTCATTTTGTTATGGTATTACCAAATTATAATAATTTCATTAACTTGGTTTTTATTGTAAATAACAAATTGTTGCAATAACATTAAAAAACTTAGAATTACATTTCTATTGTTCAAATAAATTTATTTAATTTTTTTAAATAATGTCATTTCTACACTATTTTTCCTCTGTTGTTATATCATTCATCGTTTTTATCCTATTGGTTCTGATAACTTTAACACAACACGACCTTTCTTATACATATTTTTTTTTCATCGCTGAGTGTCAGTGGAAGTAATCAACACATTGACATTACATCATCTGATGTATTCAACACCAAGTTTACACACAATAAGTCGACTGGGGATGTTTTATTACAAAAATAACTACATTGACGTCTCCAAATTCAATTACAGTGGGGTGTGTGGTGATGTCTTTAAATATGGTCCAAATACAAAAAGGGATTTGATTATTGGGTCATATGATTTCAAAAACAAATGTATCAAAGAATCTGTTTTCCAAGCACTTGAGATGGCACGAATTGCAATGCCCGATTGTCAAATTGTGTTTCTACTTTTCAGTTCAATACCATCAACTTGTGTTGGCAATTTAAAACGACTAATCAACCTCCATGTTAAGACTTATAAAGTGACAAGACACCCTTCCAAGATGCTGTTGTTTTTAGATTCATTGCATTCAGAAATTATATAACTAAACACATCAATGAAATTGACAGTGTTGTTATGGTTGACTTCAGAGACGTGCTATTCTTTGCAGACCTTTTCAGACCTTTTGGTGCAAATGAAGTCAATTGGCTACTTGAGTGTTAAGGTACAAACAACCTAAACGACTGTTTTGGACCAGTCAACTTTCCAGAACACGCAAGGTGGATACGAAGATACATTTCGTCTTCAATTGCAGATGACTTTGTTCGATGAAATATCTCCTCATTAAATGGCGGTTTTGTATTTGGAGGTGTAAAAAAGATGAAAAAGATGCTAAACATATTATGTGATAATATGGATTGGGAAAAAATGATGTGAGGGTATGATCAAGCATTACTCAACGTGTTGTATCACAATGGAAAGTTTGAAAATGTTGGGCTGCAAGCAGTTGCATGTCAACAAAGAGTGTGTTATATTGGATTGAATGGATCTAGAGTCGAAAATAAAGTCATCTATTGGAACAACACATTGTGCTCTCATGTGGCAACACATAAGTTTTTAACTACTTCGACACAATGAACAGTCAGGTAATATTATAACATAATATTACCTGACTGTTAATTAATAATATAATCAAATTTGGTAATATTTTTAAAATACGAAATTTCTCAAAATATAAAATGATAAAAAATTAATTTCGTTTTTTAACGGTTTCCACTTGATTTTAAAAGTAATAATTTTTGTCTCTAAAAACAAAGAAATGAGTCTCATTCTTCGAGAGTTTCATCTACAGAAACAACGCATTGTAAATTCGAGAAATTGCTTCAAGTTTCGACTGAACTATTTTTAATCTTAAAAACTCAAAATCATGGAAAACAAAATTTGGAAAAAATCTCTCAGTGAAGTGTGGTGACGTTAAAGAAGTGTTTGTGATGATTGGCAACTATTCAATTTTTGTGTGTGGAAATATCGAAAATCTTGAAATTAGTGACGCAAAAATTGAGGTTTTAAAGGGCGGAAAGAGAATTAAGGTAAGTAAAAATACATGGAAAAATGTCTGGAAATTGGAAGTCGAAATGAAAAAAAAGGAAAAAAATTAAAAGAAAAAGTCAGGAATAAAAAGGCAAAAAAAGTCAGAAAAATGAAAAAATAATAAAACAGTATCAATTTTATTACTACTTTTAATTTAAATATATTATACTATCTAATAAAAATGATTATTTCAATAATAGTAATAAAGTATAGTTAAAATAATTATTTTTTAACCATTTAATTATTTATATGACGTTTTGATTTGGTATAATAAAATTAATACATTTATATGGATTATTTTATTAATAAAAAACCATACAAAATAGTATACCAAGAACGTCCATTCAAAAATCAAAAAGGAAATTAGAAACTCAAGTATTATTGATTGATTTACTTTTATTGAGATATGAACTATTCTTTTTTAAAAAAACTATATTAAAGTTTTAACTTGCAATAAGAAGTAAGAACTTAATTTCCAAAGGAAGTGATGGAATACCAAAATCTTGATGAACACGGAGTCCCACCAACACAAGAATATCAAGCCAATCCACATCAAAACGTCCCACAATACATACCGCAATATCAACCCCCTCCACAATACCAACAACAAAATACACAACAATATCAACAACCATCAGTTTATGTCCCAACCTATCAACCGACTGCGTCTAAAGTGTCACAAGGTGATATGAACGACTCATCGACATCAATACTGTACTTTGCACTGGGATTCATCTGTTTCTGCATTTGGATAGCGGGGTATTGCAGATTCAAAAATTCGACCGACTCCTCCGCGAAAACGTTTGCGGTGTTGTCGCTTGTCTTCTTTATCATTTCACTACTTGTTTTGCTTGTGTGCATGGGGTTTATTATCTTTTACTTCGTCATCTTTATCATTCTGATCAATGGCGATTGGGATTAATTGAGCTTCTGTAAATTTCCGTTTAAAATGGAATTTGAGTAGAATTATACAATTAAATGTTTAGTTTGAGTTAGTGGTATTTTTTATTATAAAATAATAGTATTATAAGTACTGTACTATACACACAAGACATTGTACAAAACTTGGAATTTTTCAAAAATATCGAATTTTGGCTAGATTCTGGATATAGTCCTAATCTCTTTGTATTTGGTGCTGGTATTGGTTGTGATATAAATGTGAAGAAAAACTATGAAGCAGGGAGTTATTGCAACCAACCCACTTACAGCGCCATACAAAACAAGTTGACAAATTATGGCGAATTTACACCAATGAGTTTTGTTGTCTTCCAACTTAACTGACTTATTTGTCGCTTTTTTTGTTTTATTTCAAACATTTACAATTTATTTACACAATGTGTCTTTTGTGTAATTTGCCACGTCGTCACAACTTAAATAAATGTACATCAAGATTTAACATAATCCATTCCTTTTAAATTTATCAAGTTCAGCAAATTTTAATTATTTTGTATTAAATTTTAAATATCATTCGAAACGTCAACTTCTTTGTTAAGGGCATCTTTTTAGCTTCTTTCATTTAAGTATCAACAACAAATTTAACTTTGGTGAGATTGTCATTTCTATTCGTTTGTTTCTTTCTCAATACTCACCTCAAGTTTGTTTTTTCTGATCAGCATTTTCATAAAGTTTAGTGTTCATTATTGAAAACAATATGTTTTCATCAGAATCATTAAACCATTCTTTAATTCCGATTTAGCAATACTACTTTGTAAGTTTTTCATAGAATGTCTCCGAGTTCAAATCTTCTTATCACTTGCATTTTTGTTATTATTCGTCTTTGGTATTATTTAAAACAACAACAGTGTATTTATTTTAAACATTGACATTAAAAACTGTATATTCTGGAACTTGTTTCACCAAATCAGTAATATTGTATTAATTTACATACAAATAATTTTCGAGATCTTTTTTTGGCTTCACGCTTTAAGCTAAATATTTTTACTTTTCTATACGCAGTGTTTTCATTCAACTTAGTGACAACTTACATATTAAAACATGCAATAAAAAACAAACTTAGTTCGACTTTGCTTTAACAATTTTCCTATTAAAAAATTATATTTTTATGTTTTGTTTTTATTGTAAAATTAATATCATTGAATAATAAATTCAAAAATGTTATTTGGTTTATTTTACTATATTTTATAACAACTGTGTGAATATTTTTTCTATCTATACTAGCCTCTATCTTATTTGGTGTGGATACTGTAGTCAACACAGAATTCCCTTTTCATATTAATGGTACTTGTGTAATTTAACGTGTGCCCATAGTTGAAAAAATTGGAAACTACCCGTCATGTATACGAGGATGTGTTGTTTGCATCGCCATCACAGAGCTGCATCACATGTGGACAGTTTGATACCAATGTCCAAGCGATGAAGAGAGAAAGTGTAGTGTCTGCAAAACGGGGCATTTCCCGAAGACATCTAATGACTTCAAATGTCAAATTTGTGACACAAGATATAAAGTGTGCACTGTGTGCCAACGTTAGTATGTGGCATATTGCACCATTTAAAGCAGTTCTAAATTGTTATTTTATTTTTTTATTTTTCCAATTTTATTGTTGTTTTAAAACAAAAATCAAATAATGAATGTAACAAAAAATGTTTCTAATATGATAACGGAAAAAACAAATTTCAAAAAATAAAAATATTTTAATTGGTTAAATTAACACATTTGAACAACCATGAGTCTTTTGGCCTTCAAATATTCGTTTTCGTTCAATCCCGTTGTGTCTTTACCAAAGTTGAAATAGCGAGTTTCACATGTATAAGCACCAAATTTTGGTTGTTTTAAATCAGTTTCTCTGATTAGAGTCATATCATATTCCCCAAAATGGAAAACATTACAGTCTAAATTATTTCCAAGTTCAAAAAACGCATCATTTTTCCAATGTATTGTTTTGCGTTTATCGTCCCATTTGAATTTACCAGTGAAGCTAAAAATAGGTCTGAACCCAATACATGGTTCTCTTCTTTTTCAAATATTTTTAACTTCACAAAGCCACACACAACATAATCGTTTGCTGTGATAATGATGTAATATAAGTTCTCTTTATTAAGAACCATTTCACAAAAAATACAGTCATCTCCTTGAAGAAATTGAAGGTCACTGTCGTATATGATATTCATTTCTTGGCACGAACTCCATTCTTTCAATTTGGATATTAAATAAGTGCTTTTGTCTCCTTCTGTTATTACACTTTCTGGACAAACTTCATTTGAAACAACACTTCCCATTTTATTAATAAGTTTTTTTTGAGTGTGTTGAATAAATTTATTTCAAAACTTTTTTAAATTAATTTTTTAGAAATGAGTAACAACAATAAAATGCATAATATTTGATTTTATTTAAAAATAAAACTACACTTTGCCTTATGTTAAACTTTATAGTTAAAATTTAAATAAAATATATTATTAAATAGTTTGATATTTTTAAACCAAAAACATTAAAAAATCTATATTAGTTTTAATTTATTTAAATATTTTATTAAAAGTCTTTGCCAAAATATTACAAACCTGAAAATTTGCCAAATTATTACATACCTCAATATCATTTACTATTTCTTTTAATTATTTTAAATTATTTGAAAACTATTTCATGATTAGAAAAATAACCACACATTATAATTTTTATAATTATCAAAAATACTAAAGCAACTTAACACTAAAAAAGCAACACTGAATATGGTAAAAAAGAAGAAATATTTGTCATCACATCAAAAATTATCAATATAAAAAGTTTCATTCAACTACTTTTTGTTGGTAATTTCATTTAAACAAACATTATATACAATTGATTATTTTAAAATGTCGTTTTATCTTTTTTTCTATTACAACACACAATTATTTACGACTACAAGGGGGCTAAAAAACGGAAGCGGTCTTTTTAACCGCTTCCACTTGATTTTATAGATTTTAATAATATTAATAAAATAAAATGTATAGTATTGTTTACCATGAAGGCTGAATATGTTTCGTGGAGACTTTTTCTGTCCTAGGTGGTAATTTGTATCATACTTTATATTATAATGTTATTATTTATAACTATTAAATCGATAGGAAGCGGTTTTTTTATCCTCACTGTATATTTCAATAACACCACATTATAAACTTAATAATTTAAGTAGTCACCTATTGATGATCAATTATCAATTATCAATAATTCAATAACAATAGTTACTATAAAAGATATCACTATTGATCAAAATAATTCATTTAAAAACAGTACAATAAATAAAACATGGTATCTATTTAATGTGTAACTTGTAACATCGAATTAGAACTTAAAATGATAACACTAAGATTAAAACAATATTACGATTTACAATATTTTAAATATTTATTTTGGCTCACAAATATGTGTATATAAAATATAAAAAATATTTTCATTCGTCTAAAAGTTTGACATCATTTTTTGTTTAAAACTCAACATAAAATGGTTTAATAAAACATTTTAAAGGTTGTTAAGAACAAGAGTTGAATTGTACTTTGTTAACTTCATAAGAAAACAATGTTTTCGGTTATTCACATAACAAAGTTATCAACACAATTAAACGTTCAAATTAATTTTTAATTATCGATAACTAATATACTTTATTGTACATACAAAATAATTTCCTGTTGAATAATGACTGTTAATGACATTATTATTCTCAAATATTGATTATTATTTTGTGTAATTTGTTTTATCATTTTGTTGAAACAAAGAAAAATCAAATATAAACAATTGTTTAATAGTGTAATTAAGTTGATTTTCACAATTATCATCCAAAAGCTATTTGTTGATAACCACATATAAGCGAGATATTATATATAATTGTTTTTTTATTAACAATAGTTTTATTGTTTTTCAAATTACAACACATAATAGTAAACACAAGTGTTTCTATAACATTACAACTATGATGATCAATTTAAATGGAGGCATTTATCAAATATTAATTTTCAATTATTAAATAACAACAGTTAGTGTATAATGTTTCATAGTTAATCATAATGTTTTTATTCAAAAACCGCCTAAAAAATTATAAGAGGTATCTTTTGAGTATGTAAACATGTGAAATCAAATTAAACTTCAAATGATAACACTAAGACTGAGACAACAATTTACAAAAATTTTATGTTATGACTTAAGGCTTACATGTACATGCACATAAAATATTAAAATTGATTATTGTAAAAGTCCAAGGTTCAAATACAACATCTGTTGTATATTTAAAGATGTTAACAATAAAAATAATGAAATGTTGTTTTGATTGACAACAATCAATTAAACAATCAATTATCAAATAACACAGAAACAATTCAACTTATAATGTAAATCATCAAATACTTAAACAAACAAACAAAGTCAAAAAGTGGTTTAATAAAAAATAACATATTTTAATTTAAATAATTCAAAATAAGTGCTTTTATGTTTTTTATTCATTATAAATTGTTCATTTTTTGTTACGGCATTTTACAAATATGGTTAAGATATTTTTAATAATTTTTTGTTAATTCCCATAAAGTCGTAACAATTGAAAAAAAATATCAAATAATATATTATTTTATTATGTTTAAATTAAAATATATTTTTATTTACAAATAAGGGAATCGATATATATAAATTAATTTAACTAAAAAATATAATTTCTTCACTACAATTATAATTTTGCAAATTTCCGTCTTTCTCAAATTTTGCCAAACATTAAGGTTTGTTAAATTTTGGCAAAGACTTATTAGAGTCGAAAAAAAATCCTGCTCGATAAGGAAAAATAGTAAATAAAATCAATTTAAACTAAACGAATAAAAAACATTTTTTTATACAAAAAAACAATTTTTTTACATAAAAAAATTTGTTTGTAAAAAACTCTAAAACTAAAATAAAATAGTTTTTTATTTGTAATTATTTTCATTCCTTATCGAGCCGGATTTTTTCTTCCAACTCTAATTATTATATTTATAAATAAAACACTTACACAACACAAAGTTAAACATAAAGAAGATTGACCTTAATGTGATTGTTTTATTTAATTAATTAACTTTGTTTATGGTTAATAATTTATTTAAAATTGGGTAGTAATAAATTCCGCGTCCACATAGTACAAAAAGAAAATGGGTGACATTAGAGATGAACGAAAAGTTGTTGAAATGTGGGTTATTTTAAAAAACATTCGCAGCAAATATAATATTTCAGTTTGGGTGATGGTGGTCAATGTTGGTTTCCTATTAACGAACCAGATGTCTAATTACTACAAATACATGAAAAACTGTGTTATTGACCTATACCAACATTTAACAACAAACTCAAATTTTATTTTTTTATTTTTAAAAACGGGAAAACTTAGTTTAAATTATTTTATAAAAACTGTGAAATTACAAATGGTACAACAAAAAATAAAGTTGCTTTTTAATGGAGATAGTTCTGTTGGCAAAACTAGTCTTCTCATCAAGTACACAACTGGTGAATTTCCTTATGAATATACACCCACTGTATTTGATAACTACACTATCAATGTGACTTACAACAATATTCAAATTGACATGGAATTGTGGGATACTGGTGGACAAGAAGATTACCCTCCAATGAGACCGTTGAGTTATTATAATACTTCGTGTTTTGTCCTATGTTTCTCACTTGTTTATATGGACTCATATAAAAGTCTCAAAACACTTTGGTTGCCGGAAATAAAACAATATAACCCAAACACTCCAATATTATTAATTGGCTTCAAAAGTGATTTGAGAGAATCAAATGGAAATATTGAAAGTGATTTTCCTCAAGGTATTTATCAAAGAATAACAACAGAACAAGGCCTTCAAATGGCTAAAGATATAGGAGCAATGGGCTACATAGAATGTTCAACTATAAATGATATCAATGTCAATATGGTTTTTGAAAAGGCCAAAAAGATAAGTTATGAGTATCTTTATACTTGTATGAACACTAAAAAGCACGATAATAAAGATTGCATTCTGTGTTAATTAGTTATTTCGTTAAATTGTAATTCAATATATTATTACTATTTCTCATAACATTTACAAATTTTATTATTGCTTGCAAATAAATATTAAAAAAATAAAAAAATAAAAAATATCAACACATAATACATGGCTTATTTTTAGTGTTCAAATGTATATCATTTTGTGACTTAGTCTTGTTTTTAATTTCAGTTTTCTGTTTATATATTTCTCTCAAAAGGTCATAAATAACTTCTTCAATGTTGATATTATTTTTTGCAGACCCTTCGAAAAATAAAACGTTCAATTTTTCAGCAAGCGTTTTTCCTTCTTCTGTTGTGATATCTCTATTTAATTCCAAATCGCATTTATTACCATACAATACTATGGGAATATCTTCACACAATTCTTTATCTAAAATTCTGTAGATTGTTTCAATAAAATATTTTATATTATCAAAAGAAGATGAATCCGTTATAGAATATACAACAAGAAACCCGTCGCTTATACAAATCTTATCATTTCTATACACAGCATACTCTTCGGATCCAGCAACGTCAATTAATTCCAATGAATAAGTTTCATCGTCGACTGTTACACGTTTTGTGTATGGGTCGTCATTTGTAGGATCGTAAACTTCTATAAATCTATCACAAATAAAACGAATCGCAATTGAAGTCTTTCCAACTCCGCCGTCACCTAAAAGTAATATTTTCGTTTCAATCATTTTTAGATATTTGAGTTCCTATTTTAATTCTTGAGTTTGACAATGTTATTGTATGTTTAAAAAATTTTTCATGAATTATTCAATGAAGTGTTGATTAAGTTATTATATTAAATTTATACAATTAAAAAATTTTATTATAAACTAATTATAATTCAATTTTTTTGTCAATTTATATGAGAAAAATTGAAAAAACATAAAAATAATTTTTTGTAAAAATAATAATTCAAAGACAAAGAAAACTTTATCATAATTTTTAAAAAAATCTTTGATAAACCAATATAAACAAGCACTTAAAACCCGATAATAATTATCGGGTCAACAACATCATTTTAGTCCAAATATTAATTCATAACTTTGTTATTTGTATCAATAAAAATGCTTTTTCGTCACATTCCTCTTTTTAATTATTTTCATTTTATTAAAAAAAGAATCAACTTTTATTATTTTTAAATTATAATTATAATAACAGTTTTCACTTTAAATACCAGGTGATAAAATATGTTTTCAATAGTACATAATAAGATAGAGACACTCATCATAATGAATAAAAATTATATGTATTTTTATTTACATGACACAGGTAAATATTTAACACTTTTTTGTTGTTCTGGTGTTTATTTACACAACTTTATTACTGGTCAATATTAATAATTAACTATTATTTGATATAAAGTTGTTATTATCTTGATGTACATGTTACAATCTATCGCCGATACGTGTAGTTAATCCATTTTTAAATATCTTTTTTTTATAAAATGCTTGTCACTTACATTACATATACACATCAACTTATTTTAAACATTCATTCTAATTTACATAATGTGTGTTTTTTGTACAAAATCATTTATCATATATTGTTTGGCTTGTTAAACCAAACACAATCCGTTTGTATTATAGACTCGGTATCTTAGTCTGCACGCAAAAATAACATTCAACAACTTCTTTATATCTTTGGTGTTGTCTTTCTAAAATTTTTGTGTTTGTTCTACAATTGTTTTTGTTTATTATCGATTTGATATACCTATCTTACACTTTTTATTAATTATTTATCAAGACCTCTATTATTTTCAACCGTTAATGTTTTTATGTTTTTATCACACCTTATCGAAATATGATATATATGTTAAACGTATAACACATTAAAGTATATAAAAGTTTTCATTATAATACCATTACTTCTAATACCTTTTTATTTCTTATTAGTAAATTTAATCTCATTTAAATACTCTTTTCTAATTTTTAATTATTTTATTATTTAACTTCTTTTTTTAATTTCAAAAACTTGTTTGTCTGTCTGTTTATACAATTACTATTTAAAACAATAATTAATTCATCAAAAAAAAGAGATAATTTATTTAAAATTTTATCTTTTTTTAAGGAACTAAACTTGAATAAAACGATAGTTAGTAAAAATTAACTATCGTTTGTATTGAAAAATCATCACATTTTATTATTAAGATTAGTAAAAACAATTATATTTATAGTATATTGCTTATTAATAAAATACTATTAAGAAGCGCAAGAATAACGTACAACTGAAATAAATAAATACAAGCACTTTCAAACCCGATAAATAATTATCGGGTCTTTAACACCATTTAGAAAATTGTAAAAAAAATCTCATCCTTTCTGATTAGAGTAAGTTGTAAAACGTTGTCCCAGTCGCCAACGTCGTTCTTTTAGTCTTATTTGAATAAAAATTAGAACATTCTATGCATTTTTGTCGATTAAACAAAATTAATTTTTGTTTACCATTATTAATAATATGTTTAAATGATCCCGATTTTAAGACATATATCATTACAAATTAAAATAATTTTATCCAAAAAGCAAAAATCAAAAACACCATTTAAATAAAAACTTTAAACATTTTATTTTTTTTTCTGAGATTTTTTTGAACAATTGTAAAACTAGAAATTAAAAAACAAACAATATTATGTCGAACTCGACATCAACGACAACTCAAAGTCATAGTTCACTTCCAGTGCATGTTTTTTCAAGAGCAATAAACATCAATTTTGATGGTGTTGATTTTTTAAAAATCAAGTCCATCGTAGAACAATGCAAAGAAGTCTCTGTTGTGAAGCTTGATCAATCACTTTCGAGATTGAAAGAATTAGAAAATACTTTGATGAGCAACATTAAACAGAGTTATTATGACTATAACAACCTTTCAAATTATCTATACACGAATTTAGACAGTTCTCTTATTTTAT